TTCTATGTTGCAATTACAAATTCTAGAATTATTATAAAATTATTTAGAAATCGTCAAAAGAACAATTCACGTGTGAGGTCAGGAAAGTAGAATCAATTGGCTTAGACTTGAATCCGTTGACTGAGGTTAAAACGGGAATCACAGAGAAATTTAACAAAACTTCGAAAAATTTAAAAAGGCATTCTTGACATCTCTAAAAATTGGATGAAGTTGCAACTTGTGAAATTTTAAGACTTTGGGAGACTTTTATTTATTTATTATTTTTCACCTTGTGTTCTATATGCTTTGAGACTTGACTAAGTCAGATTCGGTTTAAGAGTCTCACTCCGAGGTAAAGTGCTCTTCACGAAACGCGGTTACATTTCAAAATTCGAATTCAATATTTCTAGTTAAAGTTGGAGGAGTTGTGAGACTTATTATAATGATATTGTTTTTACGTTCTCTACAACTCTACAGGTAAGTCAAGAGACCACTAGTTTTCAGCTAGTGCCTAGTCATATCATATTGAAGGGCTGGGCATGTAAGTTGTCAAATGAGCCCATGCTTGTAATCAAATTTGACATTAGTATATACTCAACCCCTCCCCAAAACCAAATGAGAAAAAAATTAACATTATATATTTTTTTAAAAAGTTATCCACACCCGTTTTTTACACCAAATTGCATTAATCTACTACAGTTAAGTTAAAAAAAAACTACTGCTGTATTAACTCATTATAGATAATTGATAACAATATATTAAAGTCATATATATGCCATGTATTTGTTAAATTGGTAAAAACATTAGGTGTTGATAAGTTCTTCATATATTTTAATTCTTCTACACTCTGTTTTCTAAATGACTGAAAAAGCGAGAAGAAGTGTCCGATGTTTTCACAATTGACCCCTTCTTCTGAAGAAAAATACTACTCCATACATGGTTCGTTGATGGCATTTCTATCCAATAAAAGCTACTAGTACTAAATTATACTAAAAGAAACCCAATTTGAAGTTTATCTAGAGCTATCTTCTACTTCAAATAAATGACGCATGAGCAGAAAAAAAATGTTCTGGCCCGTAAAATTGTATACGCAAAGTCGCAATAGAACGCACATATGGAGGAAGAACAAAATAAAATAGATAGTCTAAAAATTCATAGCAGAAGCGTTTGCATTAATATATTCAATACGATAAGGCAGCCACGTATGTTGGATTCAAAACGTTAGGACAAGTATTCATAAGCCACGATTATCAGTTGTTTTAAAAAAAGTTGCACGCAGAATCCTCATCTAATTAAGGATTATGTTTTGACAAATTGGAAGAGTTGTTCACATTTCCACCTTAGTCATGTTGGATATTGATTAACTTTTGGACTAAATAGTAGAACAAATCAAGCTTTATCCTTTATTCCATGTGAATTTAAGATAAAATAAAATGTAATTCTTTCAAAAAAGAACACCGAATGAGCTGCCAGACACCACCAGTGGCATACAAAGGGTTTTTCAAAAGTCGTGTCAATTTATTATTTTATTTGAACAATTTATATTGTACATGTGAGTTAAATATTAGAGTAGGATAGTTTTAAGGTTTTATTGATATTTAGTCTTGTATGCTTTTCTAGTGGTGATGATATATACACACACATTATTATTCTTTAGAAAAATATTATTTACGTTCATTATATAATGACACCTTTTAAAGTGTCTCCACTCTCCACCACTGTGCTCCACAATTAAAGTAGTAAGTACTAATTACTAGTGTTCATGCATCCTTTTATTATTTAATTATATATATTTAGGTGAAAATACATGTGAAAAAAAAGATATTAATGGTTGGTCTCACAATTGACTAGATCTTAATTAGATATCATGAGCAGAAGAAAGGTGAAAGGCAGGTGAGATCCTGATATGGGTGGTTGAAAAACAACACTTCACAATATTGTAGTGCTGAAAATTGCTCTTTTTGTTACTTTCTACATTTTCATCATGGTCTATAGTTAATGGCCCTGCACTACGCCATTATATTCTACATGCTAAACAGACCATTGTTTGTGGGAAGTTTACCAAACTTAGTGCATCCCAATTCTGTTTTTCCAAAATAGTCTTTTAATCACATCTTCTTCAATTTACACAATCAATTAGACATGACTAATAAGCTCCGATTCATGAGTTTTTTAACGTCCCAATGTCACGCATAAGCTTTATCGAACTGTCTGAACGATGATATTTTATTTCTAACGGTAATGAGACTCGAACGCACAACTTTATCTAATACACTATACTAAATTGAGTTAATACTCTTGTCAAAAGTTAAACAATAGTAGTACTTTATTGGCGTAATGGCTTCCTTGCCACTTAAACTTGTAGGGCTTTTGAAAGCCGATACACGAACTTTGGATTTTCCGGTTTGAACACTCCAACTTGACAAAATGGGTAATAATAAACACATCCATCAGAGCGTGTATACCAATTGCGCTGACATGTACATCACATCATGCTAACCTATTTATTACTTGCATGTGTTATTTGTGGGTCCCATTTTAAATATAAAATCAGAAAAAAAGTTAAAAATACAAAAAGGAAAAAAAACGCCTGAAACATAGTTTGACAATTCCACCGTGGGAATCGTCCCCTCCGACGAGCAGCAGAACTCCGGCGAGGCAAAAATGAACGCGCAAGGTGTTCCAGGTATCCAAATTGGAAAAGAAAGGTACCAAAATGTTCGCCTTGATGAGGAGAATGCCCCTACACTTCCAATTTCATATGGGTACCAACCAATTCCTCCAATTTTACAATCCAAAAGCTCAGGCAGTCCGGTTGAGCAAGGTGTTCGACGAAATGCCCCTATCAATTCTGGACCAATTGGAGACCAATTTCCAATTGGAATCCATCCTACTACACCCATGGATCCTCTATGCAAAGATTCAGCTCAATCCATTCAAAAAATCAACCATCACCACCAAGTTGAAAACTCAAAACTTCACCAGTTGGTCGGGCAAGGTGATCAGGCAAACCAAAGGACTCAAAACCAATGCCAAACTACTCCTGCTCCTCAGGAGAATGTTTCCAAACCTTCAAACCAGACCTTACATGGGCCAAATCTTTCGAATATCCAAAATGGTCATTCTGCACATTGTTCATATAACAGTGTTCGACCAAATGCCAACGCACCCTCCAGTTCTACTCAGCCTCTTTCACTAGGATTCTTAACTTACATGTTCCGGCATGGTCTGGTGAAGTTCGTAGCATCACTTACTCATCTGATAACATCACTTAATCCACGTTCACTATGGGAAGATGAAAAAATTGGAAAAGTCTTTTGTTTCTTTTTCATGTTTCTTTTTTATTTATATTTTATTCTAATTCTAATTTGTTTTAAGTAAAAACAATTCTATTCACGCGTCTTGGGAGCGTGATTTGCATACAGTTTAGCCATGTCAGCTGTAGTGCTTCCACATAGGTATGGTCAACGGTCAAATGTATTTATTATTACCCATTTTGTCAAGTTGGAGTGTTCAAATGGGAAAATTCAAAGTTCGTGTATCTGCTTTCAAAAGCCTTACAAAATTTAAGTGGCCAGGAACCCATTACGCCTACTTTATTTGACTCTGTAGTTTAGTTTCTCCATCTTCTAATAAGTTTGCTTCGGTTTTGATTTGGTTTCATCTTCTTATTCTCTTCTCTCCTTTTTTTTTTTGCTCTTATTTTCCTTTTATTTTATTTTATTATTTCTCTTTCCAAATTTATGTCCTTTTTTGGTGATCAACAAGAGGAAGATACCTCGAAAGGCCATTGACTAATTCAAGGGAGATTGATAGGAATAACCCCCATAAAGGCTGATTTTAGCGGAATATTTGAAAACTTTCATTAATCTAGTGAACGAGATGCAAATTGAAGAAGAAACTGCAACAATTTGTTAAATTATTCATCAAAGTCTACCTGGTTGATATGATTTTTGTGTTTGTTCAATTATTCACCAAACTCTACCAAATTGGTATGACTTTGTGTTATCTGCTAGTTGCTAGTGGCACGGCCTATCTGTTAAATTATTCATCAAAATCTACGTGATTGGCATAATTTATTTGAGTTGTTCAACAAATTATTTGTTAAAATTATAATTTGATACATAACAGTATGACAAAATGATAGAACTTTAGCAATAAATATTATAATACTATAGTAGCATTTAGTAAAGAATCTTAGCTTCAGCTACACAACAGAGAGGAAGCGTAGCTATTTTTTAAATACCACCAATTACGGAGTTATTCCCACTAAAACCAGCCCTATTGGAGGCCACGCCGCGCATTTTTTTGTTAATTCAATCCACACTAACTGCAAATTGCAAGAAAACGTCTCCTTCACCGACCAATGAGTTAAGCAGTAAGCACACATTAAACTAACATTATGACCAAAACTTTAGCCAAGAGAAAAGCAAGCTAAGCACTGCCCCTTCAATATCTTTTTAGGTGAATGAATACACTTGCTAATTTGTAAAGTTCCTACGTACGCCAGATAGTTCCTTACCATTTTTTTTTAAGAATATGAAGGACCATTTGAAAATTCTTTAGTAATAACGTGTCTAATATAAGGTGGTTTTTCGTAAAGCTTAAGGTATTCTTTCTAAGATTTTTTTTTTGGTGGGGGGCCGGGGGGGATTTGTAAAACTTCTGAAAAGAATAATATCCATGAAAGTTTTATTTTACAAATTCTTTTTCTTCTAAAAATTGCTTTAATGAACTTCGACATAGAGTTCTAAGAGATAGAAAGAGGTTCTTCGTCACCTCAATATATAGGTTCTGCCCAAGATATGGTCCTTGACTCGTTCCTACCCAAATCATAATATCTAAGGCGGTTTTTAAAAAAAGAAGATTATCAGCAGCTGGTGTTTTGACCAAAACAATATGGATAACATGTGTTTGCACATTAACCTTTAAAACTTAACCATAATTAATATGCATTATATAAATTGATGCAAACACTGGGTGTGGATATGTATTTTGTGGGTGGGTAGGGTAAAATTTTAACGAGTGAAGGTGGTGATCTCCTGCAGGACTGTTTAGGTGCTGTGAACAGCTTATTTTTGACCATGTTTGAATTTATTCTTACTTTTCTCTACTCACTCCCCACTTTCTCCACTCACTACCCACTTTCTCCATTTTCCCCACTCTCCCCACTTTCCCCACTTTACCCACTCATGTTCCCCACTCTCCCCAAAAAATATTTCCTCCACCCACTCTTCATCATTCTCTCTACATAAAAACACACACACACAACAGAAAGAGGACGGACAACAAAAATTCGGAATTCCCCATTTCTCTTTCCTCAATAACTTTTCCCAAAAACGATAAAGACATATGGCCGATTATCTTTGATTTCAATTCTTAAGGGAATAATTTTAAGATTTCAGATCTGGGTTTGGTATGGTTTAGCTGATTTTCCTTACAAATAGGTCAATTCAAGTCCAAGTAAGTATGTTCTCTTATTTCTGTATTTTTCCAGATCTGGTTTAATATAAAATCATGACTATTTTTCTAGCTAATATTCTTTTATTTTTTTTTATTTTTTTTCATTTTTAGCGATTATGTAATGAAAATTGATGTGTGAAATGCATATTATATTAGATTGCTACTAGTAAAGTCATTCTTTTACTATCTCGAGTTTGGTCCCAAAAATAAGGAAATTGAAAACATCTGTTGTATTACAATCCTCCTTGATTTTCTAGGCCGAAAATTAGTTTAGGTTATCATAAAACTAAAACTAGGTGTAGGTAGGCAAAGTATACTATTGAGCATGCATATTTTGGAAAAAGCCATGGTTTAGGGTCTAAGGGTCTTTTCAATGGTCAAAAGTTATGGTGTCAGAATGAAATATTTGACTACTAACATTTAAATAAATTATATAAGCCAAAAGAAAGAAAGAAAGAGGAAAAGCATTTCATGTGGAAAAAGTTTGGAGATGGACAGTGTACCTATATATAAAGACAACATGTGTTTGGTCCAAAATGTAAATGATTAGAAGCATAGTCATGGGAGACAGACGTTTAGAATAACAAACTAGTACCTAATTTGGATGAGAAACAAGAAATTGCCTCTTTGTGTTTTGCTTGATAAATTGATAAGGTTTTCGGTTTAATTAAAAAATATTTTTTTACTTCATATTTGCATGTCATAGTTATTTCAATTTTCAGTTTCCATGTATTTTTTTTAATCATGTATATATTTTTTTTTTAATAATTTCTTCATTTATGTGTTTCTTCACTTAAATGTGTGCTTCAGTTTGTAACTTCAGTTTGTGCTGACATTTGTACTGTTCTACTTTTTGCTTTTGACACTAATATGTAGTAAAACTACGTGACTCCTTTTATATTGATGTGCATGTATGGACATTTGATGAGAGTAATCTTAAATTGGTCTTAAGAATAACCCCGAACATCCCTAGATTGCTTTAATTGAACATCCCTAGATTGTTTTAATTGAGTACAAATCTTTTAAAATAGAATTGAGGTGTGTCATGCCAAATAAAATCCCAAAACTCATGGCCCTCACTTAATTAATTTTAACTCTTTAAAAATCGAGGTGTGTCATTAGTGAATTTTTCATGGTCGTCGCAAACTAATAAAAATGACAACACGTAAAATATCTTTACAGGGCAATATATGTAATTTAAATCCTAAAAGATGGCCCAACGTGATTAAGATAGTTGTCTCAACATTTTAACTTGCAAGAGTGTATTAACTTTCTGATTTGTTCAGTTCTTTGAAAGTGTTTTGCCAAATTTACAAGAGGCAAATAAACTTGACCTTCCATCTCTTCCAAAGATAACACCAAAGATATGATTCAGAGCTCTCTCTGCCTGCATCTACAGTCAATAACTTTGTTATAAGAGGTTTACCTTACAGCATCAAGACCACTCCCAATGTAGGCATGCAAATATTCTATTCTTGCTGTGTCATTTAGTGTACCATTACGCGAGTCTTTTGACCTGCCAAGACAAATCATTTAGCATCTCCACTTTCACTTCAGGAAGTTGAAGAAAGTCACAAGATTATGCTAACATCCTGAAATCTTACATTTGGAATTCAGAGGAAACTACAGTATAGCAGATATTGCAACTACAAACTTCATCATATTTTTCCAGAATACCCCACAACAGGAAGTGTGGGGGGGAGTGTACAGGGTGCTGAAATGTTGAGAGGTTGTTATTTAAGGGAGATCAAGCTTCCAAGATCATCATATAATCGCCAAGTTCTTGAAAATAGAAAGATGTGGATACAGTTTCTTGTTCTGACTAAGTCGAAATCATGGAAGTAGTGTTCCTAGGGATATATATGAAGAAAGATCGCTATTTGAAAATGACTGTGTTTAACGCCTTAGCTTATTTTGAAAAGTACTTTTGTCAAAAGAAATTTAAGAAAAGTATATTAGAATAGTGGTCATTTGCGTTTGGCCAAATAATTTAAGAAGAGTTTTTTTTAGTATTATCGAATTAGTTTGGGTATCTTTCCAAAAAGTGCTTTAGAGTATCAAATTAAGACATGTAGAAATTTGTTAATACAATTATTTTTATTAAATAGATAAATGATTTGAATTTATTTTATGAGAGGCTTTAATTAAAATATTCAATTTCTTTTAATTAAAAAGTAACAAATCATATCATCATATCATATCAATCATATTATTACACTAAAAGTAGGAAGCTCTAAAGGTCAATCATATCATATTATATTTATATACTAAAAGTAGTAAGCTCTAAATGTCAAAGTTGAGTTACCAAAAAGTCCATAAAATTGAAGGACTATTTTACCCATTAACTATATAAATATTACTTCAATAATATTCTTGTACAAAAAGGTAAAGTACTAAAGTCACCTTCCAATAAATATTAAATTTGTACTTAATGCAGCCTATTCAACTCCTAAGTATTCCTTTCATCTTCCATACTTTATTGCAAATGTACATACTATCTCAACCTTTAGAATGCCCATTCAATGTTTACTCCTTTGAGCTTCCAACAATTATTATAGATTCATGTATTTCAACATTCTCTCCTTCTTTCATTCACTTTACAAAATTGGACAATGAAATCAATTAAGCAATTCTTCTTACTGTGAGACCATTTGTCAATTGGAGAAATGGTCATTAACCATTTATTTTTTTCATTTGGCATACCTGCTAACTGTCTATAACACATAATACCAATCTATAGTTTTCAAATGAGGTAATATTTTTTCTTTTCCTGTTAGTTTTACGAGTCTCGCGCAAATTTTACAATTGTTCATGTTTTTTATACAATATTTCCATAGTCTTTATCATGAAAATGACTATCTTTTGTTATGAAAAGTTTGGCTACTATACTATCCTTATTGATTATCAGTGAAAAATAACGTTAAGTTTGTTATTTTCCTTTTGTTGTATTATTCAAGTGTTAGACTAATTACCAAGCCCATTAGTAGACTTAACTTCTTTACTTCCTCTTCTATTTACTTTTACCATTAAGAAGTCATGGGTTATGTGAAAGGGCTACTACGTAAATCAAATATATTGTTATTAACTCATTTCATAAAGAGAAATCTTAGATTATAGAAACAAATAATCTAAGTAAAGAGGGTGAACGATAGTAGGGCGAACGATATTACTTACAATGCACAGTTAACTGTTAAATTATTTCATAAGTCAATTGTTATCATTTGAATCCAAGTTTCAATGATATATAAGTAGAAGAATATAAGACAAGTAGAAGAACATAATTCAAATCTCTTATAAACCAACTATCATTCGGTAGGATTTAGGGCACTATAATTATTACATATCGAAATTAGTTTGGGTGGGAAAAAGAAAAATTAAGTATTTGAATACATTTGATATACATCCATTTTATAGAACTTTTAACAAATCATCTAGATATTTTTGGATATTTTCAATTTTAAAAAGTTTGTAACAATTGATAACAGAAACTAGTAAAATCAAAAAGGAGAGAGAGAGAGATAGCATCTTTATGGAAATTTGATCACACATTTGTTGTCGATAATTCATGAGCTTTGTGTTTGACCGTGTCGTTGGGATAGTTTGGTAACATAAATTTTTCGCAAAAAACAACTTCTGCTTCTACTAAGGAGAAGCTACATTTTTAAGGCAAAACAATGCTGAGCACACAAGTGTAAGAACCCACAAATTGTGTGCAAAAGCATAAAATCAAAGGAGAGGACGTGATTGGAGATGACGCACCATTTTCCTGAATGTAAATCGGCGGGTTGCCAAAAGCCTCTTTTAAGTACTCCAGAAATTCATAAAGACCAGAAGGTATCACTGGATACTAAAGTCAAATAATGTTTAAGTGAAAGAACGTGTAAATCTTGAAAACATCACATAAGAACTTATATTAGAGGCTTCACCTGATCTGCTGCCAATGCCTCAACTGCAGGAACTCAAAATAGATAAAATTAGTGAGCTCACTGACATCATCTAATCCATCATAAGCAGATAAAATAATAAACTATGGAAAAGATAATTTGAATGAAGTCGGATAAACATCCAGATGAAACTGAGTTAGCTAGCAGTTAAAATATGAGAGTGATCTTTATTTAAGGTGTGTTTGGCATGACAGGAAATATTCTTATTTTCTGGTGTTTACAACAACAACAACAACCCAGTATAATCCCACACGTGGGGTCTGGGGAGGGTAATATATACGCAGACCTTACCTCTACCCCGAAGGGTAGAGAGGTTGTTTCCAGGAGACCCTCGACTCAAAAAGCAACAGAAGCCGATATATTAGTACCATAAAAATGCATAATAAAATAATAGCAATACAATAATAGCAATACAATAGATATGAAATACAGAATACGGCATACGAAAAAGATGACTGGTATAGTAAGACTAGCAGGTAAACNAATTTGATGCCCCTATAGTTGTTACAGCTCTGGACATCACCTTTGTTCTTATACAACGGGACCAAACCCCTATGGTGTTTGGTTGCGAAAAATATTTTTCAGAGAAAACATTTTCCACCAAAAGGGAAAAAAAGACTTCCCTCACCTTTGGGCGGCAGTCATTCTCCTTCACAACTATCTGAACTCCTAACTTAATATTTACCGCTTTAACCAACATTTTAGACATTATATTACCAACTTTTAATACTCAAAAGTTTCATCAAAACAGTATTCAATTTGCTAATACTTTTATTAATCTTTGGTAAATGTTTTTTTCTCGGAAAAATATTTTCTATTCTCCAACCAACAAAACACCAAAAAACTTTCTAAAAATAAGTCATTTGCCAAAAAATATTTTCCAAAAATGATTTCCATCATACCAAACACAACCTTAGAAAGCACTGGATTTCGTACGTGAGATATCTGCTTCTATGTCAGCACCAAAGTCCCTGGTATTCTTTTCAATGCTGGAAGACCTGTCCTTAACAGATGCTGTCCTATAGTGGTTTAGGCCTATGAAATCAACTGAGCCCTTAACTAGCTTAGCCTCATATTTGCTGAAGGTTGGAATTCTTGTCCCAGCAGCCTTCTTCATTACAGAGGGATAGTCTCCAAATATTAAAGGATTCATTATCCTGCAGCCAAAGTCGGAAAAGGAAAATATGGTAAACAAACATATTGCTTGCGACTATAAAAACGTTGAGTTGTATGTCCATCTTCTCATCAAAAAGCAAAGCTTAAGTTGTTAGAGAAAGCACACTTTTATGATTTTTCTTGATAATAGGAGATGACGAACTTGAAACCAGAACGTCTGTTTGCTTTGCTGAATTCTGTGACCACTCATTTAAAAGTTGAAGTTTTTCAAGAGAGCACAGGTTTATATACTTAATTATGTCTTTTAAAACAAAACCTGTAATATTGATACGGCTGCTAGGCAAGATTTTACATGTCAGAAATACTTTTAATCAGCCAATGAAATTCTAAAACTCACCAACCAGTATAAAATTCATTAGCTCTTTGTGCTGCATTTACATCATCCCCTGAATTTGTGTAAGGAACACACCAAAAACCATATATACTAAATCCCACAAAACCATGTTGGGTGGACTGCATTGCAAAAGTTTTGCTCTCATTAATAAGCACATGTCTTAAAGTAAAGTTGTTCACTCACAAGTAATAGAAGGAGCTGGAAATGAGAAAGGATATGCTTACATGACCCCACAAAGACCAGTACTTTCATCAAAGAAACAAGAGTAGAGAAGAAGGAAAAAAGTTTTCCTCAAAGCAAGGACTTAAGCCATATAATGCCAAACATCTAAATTAGTTTACACAAATGTGCCGCACATAGTACTAACTGCGAATGAAATGAATATTTTAATATTTTTACTAAATTCAAATAAATAAATACAAATATTAGATAAATTATTATTGAGCAAACTTATTACACAATCAACCTTTATAGCATAACCAAAGAAGGAAAATGAAGTAATAAAGTTGCCCTCCCTATATTTGTAATAAATCAAACTATAAGAACAGAAATGCTCAAACTAACCTCAGAACAAGCACTAAAACACTAAATCATTGAGACTTCAATAACCATACAGATGAAAGTTATTTTACTGACCAGTTTGTTTCTAGATTGAATCTTTGAATCATACCTTGTAATTTCCCCTGTACAATTTCATTGCGGATGAATGTGCAAGCAACATGTTATGAACAACAATATAAGGCTCAGTAGATGAACTGCCTCTAGAACAATTAAACCCAAAAGGTGGGGAACAACGTCCCGGTGGGGTGATGCCATTATCATAACCTCCAATCGCAAATATATTGGCCTCGTTAATGGTGGTCCAATACATCACCCTGTCACCAAATTCCTTGAAGCATACCTCTGCATATGCAGTAAAGTCCTTCCTAAAGTCGATAGCAAATTCTACTACTGAAGTTAATCGTATCTGATGGCCTGATACTAAAACTGATATATGAGTAAACAGGTTAAAAATATGATATAGACATACACAATCTTTCGGCTTAACCATCCCCCGTATTCATCTTCAAGTAACTGTGGTAGATCACTGTGAAATAGTGTAACATGTGGTTGAATACCTGCAATATTAACAGATACGAAAGACTTTTAATGCGCTCTTCAGAGGAATCTCGAAGTGCAGTTTTTTGCTTTTCTTTTTTCTCTATTATGTGTAGTTGACAAAATGTGCTGAAATTGCCAAGAAATTTGGTATGACCGTGGCTGATAAGTTCATCAATGTAATTGTTGTAAAATTGTAAACCCTTTGGATTTACAGGTCCTCTTCCACCTGGAAAGAGAACAAACGCGGCATCAAAGAGGGTGGAAATAAAAGGAAATAATATGAGGTGTTTTCACATAGTATCAAGGGGCTAAACCTACCAGGTATAAGTCTAGACCATGAAATAGAGAACCTGTAGGCTTCTAAGCCTGTGTCAACCATGAGTTGGACATCTTCCTGCAACGGAAATTTGATGAACTCAAACTACCTTTCTTTAGGAAAAACCTGACTGAATTCAAGTGCTACCAACTTTTTACAAGATGTAGAAAAGAATGAACCATTTCTTGAAGACCTTAAACTAAATATAACAGACACTTAGTGGTACGCCAAACCTAAGATTATGCTATTTCTTTAGGAAAAACCTGATTGAATTTAACTGCTACCAACTTTTTACAAGACGTAGAAAAGAATGAACCATTTCTTGAAGACCATAAACTAAATATAACAGACACTTAGCGGTATGCCAAACCTAAGATTATGCTATCGTGTGAAGGACCTTAACTATGTAAGATCAATTTTAAGAAGCTTAAACAAATACTTCAAGAGTAAGGCTTAAAGAGCTAGAGACTTAGTTAAATCTTTCTCTGGCATGTTGTTAAGAGAATTGGAAGATAGGAACTTGTAGTCATTCCACAAACGTTGCAGTTGTAAAATACAATAATCAAGAAGTTCAATTGTATCTGAATCCTAAGCATGGAACTGAATAGTTCTTTCAGTTGCTTTTCAAGGTAATAATGTTCCATATTCTACATCGATAATTCCTTGTTATACTTGTTTATTTTCTGTCGGATATCAATCAAACTTCTATGCCAACTACCTCTCTTGTAACTAGTGATAGTACAGAACCATTTGTTATATCATGTTACTTTGTGTACACCTTGATTTTGTTATATCATGTTACTTTGTTATATCAGATTGAAACAGAGTCATTGTATACACCTTGTATTTGTGGTACAGATCACATGCTATGTCTCCATTGGCTCCACCGGAAAAACCTGGAAGCAAAAACTTGAAATATCATCAGCCAATCTGCATTAATGTAACTCATAGCATGTATTTCCTAATAAAGAGATTTTAAATTTCTAAAAGAAAGAAATGTTCCACTTATAAATGATAGTCCAAATTGTATATCCACCTGTTCAAATGTACAACAATCAGTAGTAGTTTACCAATTTTCTGCATCATTTGTGCATCACCGAACAACTTCAGTTTGGCGAGAAGCAAGTGATTTATAATAAATGAGCGAAATTCTAAAATTAGGTAAGAAAATAAAAAGAGGATGTGTTGGCTTTGTCACAAGGCCATATATTATGATTATGCTTTAAATTATTGAAGAGTAAAATGGGCTTAAAATCTCAATTTTCTTTAACTTGTTCTCTGGTTACTCCACTACCATAGATGGGAAAAAAAGACATTTCAGTCACGATGGAAGGGGCTGATGAGAGCGGATTTAGGAGAATGACTAACAGACTTCTAGGTGGCAAGCTTCAGAAGAAAGGGTTCATATGACACTTAAGGCAAATACCACATTGGAAATGAAGAAGAAAACAAGTGCTATATAAGACCGTACAAGTTCACATAGTATCTTATGCTTTTGGGCTTCATATGACATAGCTCAAGTGACAAATCCAAAGAGGTCAGTCGCACCAAGACGGACAATACATACCATGATTTGGGCTATAAGACAAACTATCACTCAAATTCAAGATTAATGGGACTATAAAGAGGTCAAGGATGCAAAGCGAAAAAAGAAACAGAACTGGATTGATTTTAAGAATACAGACCAGCATGAGCAAAAGTGTCCCAAATGCTAGGTGTCCTTCCATCTTCAAATGCTGCCCCTTCAACCTTTTCTCAAATATAACCAATCAAAGAGTAAACACTTACTATTCATCAATTAAAAACTGATCAGTGAAAAAAGAAGAAGAAATCTTTTAACTGACTTGATAGGCAGAAGTTCCAGCACCAAAAACAAAGCCAGGAGGGAAGTCAGCTCTGCAATAATGGTCTGTACCAAAGACTGTCACCAATAAACATTGGATTGAAACATAGTTGGATTGCAGATTTCGGAGCATCATTCTTAATGGGTGACTATTATTAACTCCTCTTACCCACATATACCCTCAAGACTTATTGTATTTCTTGACCCGTATATTTGTAAGTTCCAGTAAACTTTGAAAGACAATAATGGAAAGAATCTTTATCACTTTTCTGGTATAGCCCATAGTTACAAAGAGAGGGGACAAACAAGAAGTGTATGATAGGGACATTCTCCAGCAAGAGAGAGTTGAAAAAACAAATTTGAAGTGTTAGGGGTCGCTTGGTAAGAATAATGTTAGAAAGTGATGTACTAGTAAAGATCATATTAGTTATCCGTGCACGCTCATATATTTTTTATTCGTCGTTTGGTTTAATGTATTAAAGTATTGTATAATTTTAAAAAGAATTATTTGTTTACAAAAATACCTTTATAATCAGTCCATTACTTTATTATTTTAAAAAAACATATGTTGATGAATATTTTTATATAAAAAGATTTTTAAAAATATTATTTGATTTATCTACCTATAATATAGTATAGAATTGAATATTTATTTATTAAAAAAAATATGCTAAGTATTTATTTAATTACTAGGGATATAATTTTATTTTTCACTTTCTTAGATTATTTCAAACTATATAATGGTATATTTTAATCAAGCATAAATTTTAAAGGACAATTTTGTTTTTAACTAAGTAATGCATGCATTAAAACCCATTGCATTGTTAATACCATGGTTTCTTATGCATTAGTTATGCATAGGATAATATCAAATAGGGTGTATAACTAATGTTTGCATAACTAATGCATAGATTCAAAAAGTGTACCAAACAAGGTATTATTAATATCCAAAGCTAATGCATGCATTATTTTATCTAATGCATCCTATCAAACGACCCCTTAGGCATCACACACGCAAATTTTGACAAAACTTTTTTAAGAAAATGATCAAAATGGTCCTTAATATATAGGGGTTGGACTATTTTGGTCCTTACTGTATACCCATTTAACTGATATGATCCTTCATATATGTAAAAGGTGATCAGTTTAGTCATAAACACTAATATATAGGGGTTGGACTATTTTGGTCCTTACAGTATTCCCATTAATTGATATGATCCTTATATATGTAAAAGGTGATCAGTTTAGTCATAAACACTAAAAATTAATGGTTTTCACTCAAAAAATCTTTAAAATTAACAGAGAATATTAGGTGCATAACTGCCACCTCCAACGTAATCTTCACTCTTCTCCGTCCTTAGCAAGAAAAGGCATTCCGACGAAAATTTAGAGTATCAACGCCATTGTATTGGTGGCATGACACGTGGATCAACGACGAGGTGACAAGTGGCACTTATAATTGTGTCAATAAAGAAAGACAGAAAGGCACAGATAAAGTAGACACGATGTTTTATCAGAGAAGATACCAGATCTGACAGCTGGAAAAGAGGAATAGGCACGAGATGTATGAAGACCATAAGAGGGGAAGATTCATGAATCTGTTGTAAATATGGAAAGGGAATCAACCTTAGCTTTAATTATGTATGATCCTCTATTATTACCTTAACCTTTACAAGTAATTGGGTAATGGGCAAGCAAGGCAATTAATGCCATTAACGAGTCAGAATTAAGTAGGGAAACAACTACAATTGTGTATCCTTATATAAGGACCCTACCACATTTTGTACGATCATCTGAATATCTCTAAATATATGCAATCAGTTTTATTTTTATTTGATTTAAGATTCCAATTCACAATTCTAGGGGAAATTAGTAATCAACAATAAGCTTTTTTTCCTTTATTTATTATTTTAATTATTTATTTTATTTCTGTATTGCCAAGAAAGTGAAGTAATTTTGGTTATCAGTAACCTGATTTTCCTTAATATTAGCTTTGACCATAAAAATTATTTTTAGGTTAAAACAATTGGTTCCATTATCGGGAATCTAATAATCTGTTCACTTTCTAAATTTAAATTTTTAGCAACAAAATATGTCTAGTGCTAACGAAATTGATTAGGTGGGTCAACAAGACGGAACTCCATCACTTCCCACACCCACAGCTACTCCGCAACATTCATGAGAAAGTTCACCTGAAAGGTCTGCAACTCACACTGATGGGCAACAAGTAGGTGAACAAGCTAACGAGTAAGACACTTTGAAACAGTTGATTGCACAACACGTGAACGAAGCACCACCGACTTTTGCGAGTGGATTGCCCAACATTGTGCAAACTCCTCCACCAGTAAATACCACCTTGGAAAATCCGCTTTCAGGGCTTGATAATTCTGAAAGTGGAGAAATATTAAATGAATTCAGAGATGGAGGATCAGGTACACCGAATAATTCCAATTTACAAAGTTTAGCACTAATTTTGCAGAAACAGCTCAATGAGCGTATAAAGCAAATACCCGGTGTGCCTCCAATAATCAAGGGTGTGGATATTGACAAATATTCACAACAGTCATGGAGCCAAGTGCAACACCTTTACCAATTCCCAAAATGTTTAAAATGCCTGATATCTCTAAATATAATGGGACATCCGACCTACGAGATCATGTTACTGCATTCACCACGGGGTTCAAAGGCAATGATTTAACCAAGCAGGAAATTGAATCAGTCTTGGTTAAAAAGTTTGGCAAAACTCTCACGAAAGAGGCGTTAACATGGTACTCACTTTTACCTGAAAACTCTATTGACTCTTTTGTGTGCTTGCAAATTTATTTATAAAAGCACATTCAGAGACTCAAAAAGTAGAAAAAAAGATGGAAGATATTTTCAAAGTTAAACAGGAAAGCACGGAGTTGTTCAGGGAATTCGTGGATAGATTCCAACGCGAGGGGATGCGGCTTCCACGAGTACCTGATAGCCAGAAGACTATGGCGTTCACAATTAATTTGAATGAGAAAAGTTCAGAAGCACGAGAAGGTTGAAAGAGAGTTTGCGGGAGTTTCCTGCAACTACTTGGAACGATAAATACAATCGATGCAGCATGAAGTTGCGAATAAAAGAAGATACGTTTACTCAACCAAGGGTAGAATAAAGGTTAGGGTCTAGGCGTTCAGAAACGGAAAAAAGATCTGGCAAGAATAAGTACGAGCGCTACATGGCACCTGCGGGGCGATATTCCCGATCTAACCAAGAACATGCACGTTTTGATTCAAGATCGAGACAAAAAGAGACGAGTTCCTCTTCCTGATTCGAGAGGGAACAAGACACACGAGGTAATGTTTCAAACTCTCAAGAAAAAATAGAAGATTACAGTTTTAACTTCAGTACATCCAAATTGGTGGCTGTTCTGAGATGAATAGGCGACAAGGTACGATGGCCGAAAGAAATAAGGTCAGATCCTAGCAAAATGAATCAGGAATTTTGGTGCGAATTTCATAACAATCATGGCCATAGAATAACAAATTGAAGGCTCTTACAGGGGGAAGTTGAATATCTACTGAAGCAAGGTTATCTCACTGATCTATTTAGTGAGAAAGGAAAATAATCTTATATGAAAAATAGGCAAGAACCACCAAAACCCTTATCTCTGAAAAGAACAGTAAACGTAATTACCGGAGGAGAGGAAGTTTATGGAGTAACGTACACGACTGCGGAAAAGACATCAAAGGTTACCATTACCCATGCGAAACGGGTTCGACAAGTTCTAGAAGGAGACAATATAATGTTTGATGATGAAGATGCGGACGGCTTGATAATACCTCACAACGATGCGCTGGTAATATCTTTACGTGTACATGATACTAACGTTAAACGAGTTTTGATTGACTAAGGTAGCTCAATGAATATCATTCTACTGAGGGTGGTAAATGAGATGCAAGCAAACAATCGAATCATACCAAAAGCTCGGTCATTATCTGGGCTCGATAATTCAAGCGTCGTTACGAAAGGAGAAGTCGTATTGGCTACATTTGTAGAGGGTGTCATCAAAGACACTAAATTTCAGGTAGTAGATGCGTACATAGCCTACAACATAATTTTAGGAAGAGCGTGGATTCATTACATGAACGTGATCTTGTCAACATTGCATCAAGTCATTAAGTTCCTATCACAATGGGGAATCCGACAAATCTAGAGAGATCAGTAAGCATAACGAGATATCAATTCAATGGTGATTGCAAGTGCAACAGCAGAGGAAGGAGGTGCAAAATAGCAATTAAAGAACTCAGTTGAGGATAATTTAATGCACACCTCAGCTGAACGCCCGAGAGTTTGTGTTGATATAGATTTGAGACCTGATATGATTCAAGAACCAGAGGAAAACAATAATATCAAAATAACCACAGAGGAGCTTGAGGCTGTTATATTATTTGTCACTGGCCTGACAAAATTTTTTACATCGGAGTAAACTTGAGCTCGGAAATGAAAAATAAGTTAATTGAATTTTTACATGCTAATGCAAATTGCTTTTCTTGATCGCATTCAAACATGATAGGTATACCACCGGAGGTAATGACTCACAAACTGAATGAGGACCCATTACACCCACCTGTCAAATAGAAGAAAAGGAAGCAATGAGCATTTAAAAATCAAGTAATCTAGAATGAGGTACATAAACTTCTGAAATTTGATTCAATACGAGAGGTAAAGTACCCTGACTGGTTAACTAATACTGTCGTGGTTCCAAAGAAAAATGGAAAGTGGCGAGTTTGTGTAGATTATACTAATTTAAATATAGCTTGCCCTAAAGATTCATTTCCTTTACCGCATATAGACCAGTTAATTGATTCTACCGCAGGTCATGAACTTTTAAGTTTTTTAGATGCTTATTCTGGTTATAATCAGATAAATATGGATCCTCTAGATGAGGAAAGACCTCGTTTATTACAGATAGGGGGATTATTGCTACAAAGTCATGCCGTTTGGCTTGACAAATACTGGAGCGACATACCAGAGGTTGGCAAAATATTTCAAGAACACTTGGGAAAAACCAAGGAGGTTTACATAGAAGATATTTTGGTCAAGTCAGTGCAAGCAAGGGACAATTTCCAACACTTGACTGAGACCTTCGACATTCTCCGCAAGTATAACATGAAGTTAAACCTGGAAAAATGCGCCTTTAGTGTCGCTTCAGGTAAATTCTTGGGTTTTCTTGTTTCTAACAGGGGTATTGAAGTAAACCCTGCATAGATCAAAGCAATTGAGGAAATACATGACTTACTCACGAGCAAGAAAGAGGTAGAGATTAATAGGTAGAGTAACAGCTCTGGGAAGGTTTATATCCAAATCTTCAGAAAAATATTTTAAATTCTTTTCAATATTGAAAGAGAAA